AAAAAAAAATTATCAAATTTTTTCTTTGTTCTTCGTTTTTGTTTTATCCCAGATTGATTTAACAGCTTTTAGCCTTACAGAAACAGCCGATACTAATGCTGTATTGAAATCAGAAGCCGATAAAGTTTGTAATCCAAGCAAGGATTTTTCAATGGCTGTTACTGTTGCAGCGTCAACACCATAAGAACCTGCAGCTGTTGCTGCTGTGGTATCAGCGGTCATCAATAGAAGTTAATTTTGTCAACTGATTAGCAGCTAGTCAGTTAGTATCAAAATTGGTCTAATATGTCTTTTTTTTTTCATTTTCTAAATACTAATTTTTAAAGTTTTTGATTCTCTGCTTTTTTTTTATTCTCATTACCTGTGAAGATGAGGTAAAATAATAGAAACTGCACAAAAATAAAAATGTTATTTAACTGTTATCAGTATAACTTTATTTCTGCTTTTACTAATCTGTCGAATAATTATATCGGTTTATCACTGTTACGCTATTCCTTTCCTGTCAACAAGTGATGGACTTGATAAATGTCAATGAGATTTTTTAATGAGGAATAATGAAGAAACAAAAGTGGAAAAAAACTTGTTAATGACTTGAAACTTCTAGTTGTTATTGTTGTTTTTCAACAAGTCCCTGTGAAGCTTACAAGATTTACTTATAATTTTCCAGTTTTCTTTGTTGCTTCAAAGCCATTTCAAAGAACATCATCGAAACCTCTGACAACTGTAAATAAAAAAAAGCAAAAAGATTTCTTAAATCATTCCAAAAAAGCAGAAACAAAAAAAAACCTTTTTAGAAAAAAAGATTTTTTGCTTTGTTTTTGCATCTAAAACAAAAAAAAAGCCATTATTTTTCTTGATCTATGATCAAAAACTGATTGATCTCTGGTGTTCCCTTCGCTTTTATCGGCAAATCTTAAGCCAGAAAAACAATAAAAAAACTGCTACCGTCATTCATGATTGCCCGGTTTTTTCAAGCTGTTTTTTTTTTCTTCCGCACTTAACATTGATAAATTTTAACGACTCATAAAAGAAAAGCAAAAAAAAATAAAAATTATTGATAAAACAATTCAAACTGACATTTCCTTTCCGTTTGTCTTCTTTGGTCCTTACTACAAAAAAAAAGCGTCTTTTGCAACAAAAAAAAACCAGAAAAATTTAAACAAAATTGATACAATCTACTTTTTTCTTTTTTGATTGTTTCTATCTCTCATCAAACAGTTAAAAGTGTACAGAAAATAATACATCAACAAAAAAAAAGTCAAGTGAACAGAAAACTTATATAATTTTTCTGCATGGGTTTTTGTCTTTTTCTTTGCCAGTATGGTAGGACACTTAAATGGGAAGCAATAAGACTGAGAAAAAAAACGTGGAGAATCACTTTTGGTGTTTTTGCTGCATTTTCAACCTACTGATGGCTTATTTCTCAGAATTATTAATAAATGCTGTTTTGAATGCTCCTAACTTAGTTTTTCATCTATTAACAAATCGGTTAACGCTCGACGATAGTTTATCCTCTCAGTCCACAAAAAATTTTGGAAAAAAAAAAATTATTTTTTGCCTTTACCAACCCTTAATTTAGCAACATCTTTAACCTGTTTAAAATGCTATTGTTTAGTGTATTAGAAACTGATATCAGTGTCACTCACAGTGACGATGGAAGTAAAAATTAAGATACTCTACCAGATTGGGACGATCATCCCATCGATGCAATTCCGAGTTGCATCGGCTGCTGAGCAGTTAGTACCCGCCTGAACGGTGGAGACCAACGCAAATAGAACAACACCGGTTGAAGCAAACTGCAAGGTCGAAAGCCGAAGCCGCATATTTGATGGTATATTCCGTTAGATGCGAACTTCGTTTTGATCCTTGTTTCTTAGATTTCTGGTTTTCTGTTGTTGTCG